AGGTCTGGAAGGATCTTAGTTTCATGGTTTTCCTGAGCGCTATGCATATTCATAATAAAACCAGTTAAAAAAGAAAGTCCCTTTCGACAGCTGTTCTGCTGTGTAAGGTAATTTCAACGTCAAACAGAATAGCTGTCCCAAAAATACGTACACTCCATAAATAATATATCGTCTGAGTTACAAAAACTCCTAAAGTAAACAGAGAACGAATTACGAATTAAGAAGAGTTCACTGTAACTATACCTGAGATCTTGGAACTTATATCTCAAGGTGGGTGGCGCATTTACGTTGTAGATGTCTATGGGCTCCAGTAGCCACTTTTTTTTCGGGGGGAAATCCTCATGGACTACCTCCGCCTGGGGAAAGGCGGAGGGGCATGCCGGACTCCTACCGGCTAAAACCACCCCGGTGTCTCCCCACAAGTGCGCGCAGGGTCGCGGGAATCGAAATTCTTCCGCAGCCCCACACCAGTGCTGGCCCGGTCTATCCAGCCTCTTCTCCTGCATGGGGTAGTGAGGCGTTCAGCTACCCCGTGCATCGCCTCAGAGGCACGCGCCGACACCCGCACGCGCCTCCGTTCCAGTAACCACTTAACTCAAGGTGGGCTGTGAGCTCGTCCACCCATGTAAGCAATTAAAAAAAAAGTACATTTATTAGTCTATAATAATATTTAGGTATAACCGACAGTAACGAGTCTGTTTCTTGGCTATATTTAAATATAATATAAGACCGAGCAGCAGAGCGCAGTGAAGCATTCCACAGTCGAGATGAAAGGTCACAGTTAAAATTAAAAGTAAACAAAAATAAAGATGAAACGTCAGTAGCATAAACGATAAATTGAGAAATTGTTTCTCGTATAAACCAATGTGATTAAACCAGGGACCCAATACCACTTTTTTTTTAATTGCCTTTGTAGGCAGACGAGCATACGGCCCACCTGATGGTGAGTGGTTACCGTCGCCCATGGACTTCAGCAATGCCAGGGGCAGAGCCAAGCCGCTTCCTACCGTAAATTTTACCGTAATTTTTTATTCCTTAAATAAGTGGCCGAGCTCAAAGCCCACCTGGTGTTAAGGGTTTACCGAAGCCCATAGACATCTACGACGTAGATACCGCCACCCACCTTGAGATGTGATATGATATGGCTTCCCCACCCTTTAAGCCGAGACGCATTACTGCTTCACTGCAGAAATAGACAGGGTGGTGGTACCTACCCGTGCGAACTCACAAGAGGTCCACCAGTAAGAAATATTAGGACATTTTATAAACTTTCACAGAAGCACTGTCCAGCCCATACGTTTCGGTCTTAAGGCAGGAATACCCGGCAAAGCCCGTCTGCCACTGCTAAAACAATTACTAACTGACGCTCATAGCTATTATTCTAAGTCACAGAAGTCAGCCTTTACTAACATTCCCGAAACAGCATCAATCAGACAATGTTGATGGTCTGCGATCTTGTTTGTCTTAGTCCGGCTTTAATTAATATTGTGGTCATGATATACACGAGTTTTGATTCGGCCCTTAGGGATTTAGGGCTGCCGGCCCATAATAGGGTGCGGTGGGCGTACTCAAAACTCTATTTAAGGACTCATTTTAAAAATACAATTCAATTTTACACTTTGACTTTTTAATTACATAGATGAACAGACTGTTCCCTTGTTAAGCGGTGATTTGAGCTCAAGGACACATCATCATGTCGCAGAATACCTTAAGTAATGTGAGTAACATAATAGCAATAACCTTCACAATGCCATCGCGATGCGGCCAAACACTGGGACCGATCGACGCATATTGAAACATAAAAGTAATAAAATCAGGAGACATTAATGATAATAGTGCTGATGAGGTATCCCACGCCACTTCACGTAATTAAAAGTGTAGACTAATTAACGAGCAGCAGTAATGACTCCATTGCGGCCAATGATCGGAGGCGCTGGCGGGACATTACAAAAAGCAAAATCCTGTCAAAATATAATGGTCACGACCCTCAGCAGTGAGGAAACGACGCGAGGAGGAGGAGTAATGACTCAATATGACCAAGACCTCCATTTCTTTCATTTTTAAACAGCCTAACTGGCTTATGCCTTAAATTATATAGGCGTGTCTTATATAATAAAATCAGAATATTTTATTTCCAGACATCATACTCTCTTAATGTAGTAAGCATTACAAGTAACTTAAGAACTTTCTTATTATATATTTTTTTAATTAAAATAAATTTAAGTATACATATTAACATAATATAATCTTGTATATATTGTAGTGTATACGGAACGTATTATCTCTAACTACGTATCTGCATATCAAGGGATAAATGTTTCATTAAATTAATGTTTACACAAGCATCTAACATTACAGAACAAACATAAAGTTATTTAGAAGTCAAGTCGTACTGTTAACTTTTATGTAAATAGTAATTAACGATATGATACACAGTAATTAGGTAGGTTGTTTGTTCAGGTGATTGTGCTTGAATTTGATACGCGGTAATTTGCGGGAGCACACGTTTGGTTTTTTTTTTTTTTAATGTCAAGAAAAGTCGTATAATTTATTACTAGACGATGACCGAGCTTTGCTTGGTATTTTAATTTTTTTGATAAATTGTGTTTTTTAGAAATTATAATATACAAGCGGTCCGTTCCGGCTCCGCTCGGATCTTTAACAAAAATTTCAACGATATTTGACGTTGTTTTATTTTTTTTAATTAAAGAACACCTACCTATTGCCTCATAACTATAATAGTTATACATATACTGTCGCGACACTTTTTGTAAATAATAATGTGCTCTACATAGTCGTTGTACATTATTTTATTCTACCATCAATAGTTTTCGCAGGGCACGCGATGTAAATAATATTTTAGGTAATTTTTTTACACATTGAGTTACATTATTGGAGTTTTACGTTTATAAGTTTTAAGTTTATCTACCAGCTAACCGTTCTTAAAGATGGAAAGCTTTACATGAGTGGGTAGATGAGTACAATCTAATCAATTTACTTATTGATACAATACACAATAACAATAATAAAAATAAAAAACACTAATACATAATATATCTAAATACATGAACACTAATACATATTTATGTTAGTCTCTGGTACACATAACACAGGGAACCCTAATTTGGGGCTGGATGACCGTGCGTGATTTCTTCCAAATTATTTGTTAGTATTACTATTTTCTTCAGTTTTTGGGAATTGTAGACATAATTGGAAATATTTTTGCGTTGTAATAACAACACCGAAACGTCGAAAATAATGTAATGACAATGACAAACACGAGTACACATAAACACACACACACACACACACACACACACGCACACACACACACACGCACACACACACACACACACACACGCGCGCGCGCGCGCACACACACACACACGCACACACGCAAACACACACACACACACACACACACAAACACACACACAAACACTCGCACACGCAAACACGCACGAACCGTAAAATTAGTTTGTAGTTGTTACTCTTAAGATTGTATTATTTTAAGCGCACGTCACAGATAAATATCTTTAATGGCATATCTTTTTCCTATAATAATAAATCAACTTCTCACATTATACCACCCTTTTATATAGCGATGGCGTACCGCATTAATATTTTCTTGTCCTTTAAAACTGCGGTCCGTAGACGCGTCTGAAACGATCCCCTATCATCATCCTCTTTAAATGCAACGAGTTAAAAAGCTACATTATGTGGGGCGGAGGCGGGCGACCCCGATCCATTCATGCGCTTCGAACTGAACGGACGTGGAGCAGCGAAAAGATTCAACAAAATGAAAAGTAACGACGTTCTGAGCTTTTCTTAGATTTTCAATATAGTGTTTGATAGTACTAAATAGGCAATCGAACTCTTAGATTAATTAGATACCGTTATCGCTACCTATCGACAGTACAATATAAATATCACTACCAATTTCACGACTCAACATTTTTTTTGCCTATCTTAATAGCCCCGAGGGGTTTTACTAGATCGCCGAACATGTTGGCGAGCTCACGGAGCTTAGCCTGATGAATTTGTTAATACAGTCTCAATATGAGTCGATCCCTATATTATTAGCCCACTCTCCAAACTAGAAAACAACAAAACACCGCTACAGAAGTGAGTTGGAACGTAGTATACCGAATTGACTGAGCACGTACCTTATTTAAGGTAAGCAGTCAACATAGAGACACGATCCAGGGGTCGGAGCCCGAAAAGATGGAGTGACCAAGTGTCCGAGCACCTGGACACGAGACTGGACAACGCACTTCACTTCACTGCGCCACTGACCGACATAAGTGGCTACAGATTACAATTAAATGTCTCAGGCGGGCGCATCGCAATGCTCAGCAATGAGCGAATGATAAGAGGATGCAATTGCCATTAGTTGGGCCACATGCTGGTCGGCCCACAAAACCAATAACAACGTCCTGTTTCTGGATCATGTTTTGAGTAACGTGAAAATCGGTGAAGTTCTACTTTATGCCTGCAGGACTGTCAACAGATCAAGGCTTCAGTTACCTGGTTGCTTTTCTGCTAGACCCATTGCAGTTTACATTTTCTTGGGTCTCCCTTGCCGGTCCAAGCTAAACCAAATTAGCGTACATAAGGCACGCGATAAACATAGAGAACCAAGTTTCAGTTTAGACCTCTATTCCAGTCTCGGCTCGACAGTGATGGGTCTTTGTGGATAAAGCGCTTTCTAATGAACCTTATCCTGCATCTGTAATATGATACATTCGCAAAAGTCTAACTAACCGACATCCCGATACTACAACTACCTGATACTAGAAGTTTGAAGAAGTTTGTGAAAAATCCTATGAGAGGTTTTCAAAAGCTTCACCACGAGACAAACTTTCAGCGCCTCGTTGTATATCTGTGTTAACTGAATTACTAACGATGTGCTCTTCATATCACCGTAGTGGCTGTCACGGAGTTTCTATGGGTTAGATGTTCCTGTAAAACTTTATTCCTAATTATTTCTTGACCTGCAGTGACATGCACGACGCGGTGTGCGGGGGAAGACCAGGGTTGTGCGACGCAATGCGGCCGGCGAGTGGCGCTGATTTACTGCGCTACCTAAGGAAAGTCAACTTTACTGGTAAATACCAACCCTGAATTATGTTTAAGCCACTTTTAGACTTTTTATTTATTGCATAGATGGGTGGACGAGCTCACAGCCCACCTGGTGTTAAGTGGTTACCGAAGCCCATAGACATCTACAACGTAAACGCGCCACCCACCTTGAGATATAAGTTCTAAGGTCTCTGTATAGTTACAACGGCTGCCCCACCCTTCAAACCGAAACGCATTACTGCTTCACGGCAGAAATAGGCGGTGGTTGTACCTACCCGTACGGACTCATAAAATGTCCTACCGCCAGTAAGAGACTACGTTATAATATAACAGCATATAGTATATAGCTCATAGCACAACAATATCGCATACATTGTTATACACGTTCACACTGTACTGTACTATAATAATATATTATTGGCTAAGTATACGCTGCTATGCTATATGGCATTATAGTATAGCGTAGTCTGAAAGCAGCCTAAGTGTATTTTCGTTTTCTTTGATAAGCTGGTAATACAAGGACAAACACTTTATTTCGAAAAGGCACTCGCTCATAATATCATTAACATAACGAAATAGATTAAGACCATAAATGTGACCAAAGGCAGTCGGAAACAAGCTTAGCTTTATGTTTTTTAGAGTATGAAATGGCGGGGGGCGCATATTATCCGCATTTTCTGATACTTAGCCGGATAGTATCATGAAAGTTTTTGATTGCATGCGGACAGTATCAAGAAATATTTTTTTATTGCTCGTGTAGGCGGACGAGCATACCTGGCCCACCTGATGGTGAGTGGTTACCGTCACCCGAAATGCCAGAGGCAAAGCCAAGCCGCTGCCTACCGTTAAGTACTCTCCACAGGCCTCGTTTGAAGAAGGACATGTCATAGCGCTCGGGAAACATTGTAGAGGGTAGCTCATACCAAAGCCGGATGGTACGTGGCAAAAAAGATCTCTGGAAGCGCACTGTGGATGAACGCAGTGGCTCTAGGTAGTAGGGATGAGCTCTACTCCGGTGACAGGCGGTGCGATGTTAAAAACGAGATGATGCTATCATTATATATTGCCAAAATGTACCCGATATTCCACGTCATCTTAGGTGTCAGCGGTGACGAGTTCCACTTCGACAGCAACGGCGACGGTCCAGCCAGGTATAACATCCTGCACTTCAAGCAAGTCTCACGAGGAACATACAGCTGGGTTAACGTTGGCCAGTACTTGGATGGAGAACTTCAACTACATATCAAGGGTGAGTCTTCATTTTTGTGTGCCGGCCAAATATCAATTGGTTACTTAGTCATTTGTAACTTACAAAATGGCTGAACCACAGCTTTTTTACTGGTGGTAGGGCCTCTTGGGAGTCCGCACGGGTAGGTACCACGACCCTGCCTATTTCTGCCGTGAAGCAGTAATGCGTTTCGGTTTGAAGGGTGGGGCAGCCGTTGTAACTATACTTGAGACCTTAGAACTTATATCTCAAGGTGGGTGGCGGATTTACGTCGTAGATGTCTATGGGATCCAGTAACACTTAACACCAGGTGGGCTGTGAGCTCGTCCACCCAGCAAAGCAATAAAAAAAATGCCTGTTCTTAATTTATATCAAACTAGCTGACCCAGCTAACGAACAGCAATTCATTTTTATATAATAATATAGATTATCTCATCCGAATATAATTTCTATATTGATATTTATTATCTAACTTCGTTACAAAATCTCTTCCTGATTATTTCCGCGGCGCCCGGATATATTTTCCTCCAAACTTACTTGTTAAAGAGTTCTCAGCTGTAAACTTGATTATTCTCCTGACACAAAGCCTATCCATCTACTTTGTCGATTGACTATGTAGATTGATTGATCGGCGCCTAGATTTACGGTGCTAATATTTTCGTATTGTCGGTCATAATATTTTTATAAAAAAAAAAAGATTTTTAATGGATATTTCGTAACTAAGTAGTTGAACGTAGTTATTACGATACTAGACGATGGTCTTTTTTTGTTGATAAATTGTGTTTTTTAGAAATTGTATTTAAATACGAATTACGTATTAATAAAATGATGAAATATTCCAAGATCGTTTAGGCATTTTTAGGTGGCTTCGGGTGGCTTAACAACGCCATCTGCTGAAATAGCTTTAGTGTTATTGTTTCTTTAAAGCAGTTAGTTGAAATTATGAAAAAATTGTATTATTATTCGCCAATAGATGTCAGAAAGAGTCATAAAGTTGATTATCAATAAAGTTGATTATTGAAAACACGAATAAAACAACATTTTCTGAAAATAAATCGTAGCTAGATCGATTTATCGCCCCCGAAATCCCCTGTATACTAAATTTTATGAAAATCGTTGTAGCCGTTTCCGAGATTCAGATTATATATATACAAGAATTGCTCGTTTAAAGGCATAAGATTCTAAATTAGGAAATCGTTAAGTAGGGACAGCAGACACAGTTGATTGTTTTTCATCCAGACATTCAGTTCAAGTGGGGAGAAAGACATCCACCGGAGTCGGTGTGCAGTGCGGAGTGCGAGCTCGGACAAGCTAAGCAGTACGTGGAGGGCGAGAGTTGCTGCTGGCACTGCTTCAACTGCACGCAGTACGAGGTGCGTCGCCTAAAGAAGGTTTTACCATCACCGTACCATACCATCATCACACGTATGGCCGTAGACAGCGGCTTGGCTGTGCCCCTGCATTGCTAATGTCCATGAGCGACGACAATCGCTTACCATCAGGTGGGCCGTATGTACGTCTGCCCGCAAAGGCAATAACAAATAATAAAAAAGATGTGTGGTGTCGTGGGACACGGGATAGGAACGAAGTTCCTTATTATAAAAATATTAACTTAAAGTTCTACTCGAGGTATAAATAAAATAAAACTGGAGGTTTCGCAACAACTCACGGTCATTCGGTAACGTGCAAACTTATTGTGGTACACTTCATTCACGGTTGTTTGCATAAGAGTTAGTGTATTGCGCAAACGAACGCTCTGAGATCGTGGTCATTGACAATGATAAAAAATTGTTATTTTTTGTACGTTATTATAAAGTTAAGTCGTACACTGTGTGTATTGCTAATAATAATCTTACGTTACGGACGTTTTTTCCCGGTTAGGGTACCCCTCCGCATCGTCCCATAAGGAACTTCGTTCCAGAAACTTGGAATAACTTATAACCTCTAATACCAGAAGAGTTTTACGTAACAAATAGCAGCAGGCAGCGACTTGGCTGTTCCCCTGGCATTGCTGACGTCCATGACCGACAATTACCACTTACCAACAGGTGGGACGTCGCTCGACTGCCTATTAAGGCACGAGCGCTTTGACACTGAAGAATTTAGTACACATGTGGCTATAATCTTGTTCATTCTCAACACATTTATTCTTTCTCTGACCACTTTCCATCTTTTTTCGTATTTAACATAATGATATGAAATTTTAACCATTCTTTTTTTAGCCATTTCAAAGTCATATTGTTCCCACCAGATCCGGTCTCCATACGTGGAGACAGCATGTATGGTGTGTCCGCGCGGTACGTTACCGGATCTAACCAGGACCCAATGTCGACCGATCCCTGAAGCGTACTTAAGACCTGACTCCGCCTGGGCGATCGGCGCTATGTCGTTCTCATCTGTCGGAATATTACTGACTGCGTGAGTGATTTAGAGCGGACGCAAAATACTTAACATCTATTAGATTTCATATTTATCCGAATGAATAAGACGATCTTTATTAGTTCACACTGCCTTCCTTCTGTGTCAATCGTGTTTGAAAGTGTCTGTGGATAGAAACGATATTAAAATTAATGCATAAATGTCACATGATAAATGTCCGTGTATAAGGGTAGGCACATACCCGATCCTGTGGACCGAATGGTAAACAGTCGTCGTCGCCCTAAACACGTCATTTTGGATCCTCCCGATCTATTAACGGTGCTTTTAGGTACCTCAAGCACTGGTCACCGTCGCTTGCGACGAAGGGCTCGGCGAGAAAATGAACCCATAGACACAGCCCACTGAGTTTCTCGCCGGATCTTCTCAGTGGGTCGCGTTTCCGATCCGGTGGTAGATTCTCCGAAGCACTGCTCTTGCTAGGGCCAGTATAAGCAACACCTCCGGTTTGAACCCCGAGAGCTCACCTACACGCTAGGGTAATGCTGATATAGCCTCTCAAAGCTGTCAGCTTAAGTAGGAAAAAAAAAACAGGAATGATCTATGTTTCAGATTTGTCTGCGGAGTGTGGGTTAGACACAGTTCGACTCCAGTAGTGCGTGCGAGCGGGAGGGAGCTATCCTACGTCCTGCTCGCCGGTATCCTCATGTGCTATCTCGTTACGTTCGCCCTGGTGTTCAGGCCCACGGACATACTTTGCTCTATTCAAAGGTATGAATATTTTGTGCGACATTAACCGTTTTCAGGTTAAAGGAACTATTACTGAGGAGATGTTAATATGATAAGCACATCTAGATAATGCCTCATATTCCTTATTCCCGACCATCGATGCGGTATCAAGTTTACTATTGTCTTCTCTATAGCATATTGTCTTCTCTATTCTTCGAAAGAATCCCCCCTAATAACGGGGTGTAACTGAGTAAGGAGATATCATCGTTTGAATGTTTACTGCAACGTACTTTTTCCTTCTTTTCTGAAGAATAAAATGGCTGCCGTATTTTAAAAGATTTAAATACCCGTCCTATGTCTGAAGGTTGACCTTGAACACATTTTTCCTTTTAACGTAAATAAAACAGCAGAATACAATAATGATAAATTCAAATTAAAATACAATAAGGACAATATATTGTGTAATCTCTGCCAACAATCTATCTTAATCAATCCCGTGTAAAAATAATACTAAGATGTTTTAGTAAAATTAAAAACTTTTTATAACCGAAGGATTCTGACTATATAGCACTCCGTGACTAATTTATACTTGGGGCTTAATAGACATTAGAATTCATGTTTTCTTTAAATTTTTATTGTACATAAAAAAATATAAACAAAAGAGGAAACACATCCGATAATTGAAAGCGCGTTTATTTTTAATCAAACCAGTCATCGTTGAAACAACAGTTCACCCTAAAACAAAACACTCGATAAACAAAAAAAAAGAAAATTCTCGTTGGCCCCTCAACGAATATAAGGTTCATATTCCTATGAGACTTGAGACCATATCGAAATATGAGAGACACTAAGATACAGCGAACGTCAAACTATATAAGCCGTTTGTATTCGAAGATAGGGTTTGTCTTGCGAATTTATGTTTCCAAAGATCCCGTAACTCGTTCACATTGGTTGCTAAAAGTTAGAAGCATATCCGATAAAATTAATACTTTCTTGTTCTAAATAGGTAGCTACTTAATATAATCATTCATTTACGGATTACGGATCCTCCCGATCCATTAAGGGTGCTTTTAGGTACCTCAAGCACCGGTTACCGTCCTCGTCGAACCCGTTGCTTGACGAAGGGCTCGGCGAGTACTTGGTGTGAACTTGTACAGACTGCCGTTACAATAGTTAATAGGTTACCATCATTTCTTGCCTACTTTTGTCGCAAAACAATCCACAATCTAGGGGTTTTCCGCGGCAAAAACAGGGTCTTCGTTTTCGAAAATCCCCCGAAATGCAAAACCCCTGAGTATGTACCCCGTCGTCCATGTCAATCAATTCATAGCCAAAGTGATGCCTACATTAGACAGCTCTTATGGCGAAAGATCTTACGGAGAAAGAACATGAGGCGAGCGCAAAGATTCCTCGACTAGGAATGAACTTGGATCTGGTGGCAGAATGCACGATAGTAATAAGGAGACGACGGAATCATCTCATATATATTCTCAGACTATTGTACTAGTTTTCTCAGAACAAGACTCAAATAGTACATACTTCCTGGTTAAAGTGTAAAGGCTTGAAATTACTCATCTAATATTAAGTTAATTAAACATAGAACAAAATGTCAGCCATTTTGCACACGTCCTAACAAGACGATACAGAGCTACATGTTTGAATCTTGATTTGTATTCCGCGCGTGTCTGTAATCTCAGGTTATCCGTGAAATTCATAGACGTGATGTTCAGGTATTGCCTCAAAAGCTAGGCAGATAAACTTGGGGTCACAGCTTCGGGAAAATCATTGCTTTGTTTAGTTCTTTATTTTGACTTTTATACATTTCTTGAAGTCTATGAGTTACAGTTAATACTATCATGGCCAAGAGCTCTTCTTCCTTCGTTGGTAATGAAAACGGTTTTAAATACAGGTTTCAATTATTTTTTGTTGTTGCGTCGGTTGGTGGATGAGCTCACGGCCCATCTGATGTTAAGTGGTTACCGGAGCCCATAGATATCTACAACATAAATACCGCCACCTACCTTGAGATATGAGTTCTAAGGTCTCAGTACAGTAGAACGGCTGCCCCATCCTTCAAACCGAAACGCATTACTGCTTCGCGGCGGAAATAGCTGTGGTGCCTACCCATGTGGACTCACAAGACGTCCTACCACCAGTAAAATGCCTGCTTTTTCTTAGTGTAGTCGGTTAATGATGTTTTTTTATTTCCAAATCTTTGTAACGAGTGACTCACAAACAGAGCCTAGCAGGCTGATATACCGTAGAAATTTTAAGTAACATTTGTATTACATTTTCCACTGCGGTCCATTTGATTTTCTTTCGTGAATAATATACCAGCTACATCTGCGCTTTGTATCAGTTGCCGAGTGAATCCATTTCATTATTTCGTAGACCGCAAGACAACGTTTCTGTTAGGGGACGAATTCAGGTCTAAGAAATCTTTTTTTTTTATTGCCTTTGTAGGCAGACGAGCATCCGGCCCACCTGATGGTAAGTGGTCACGGTCGCTCATAGACGTCATCAATGCCAGGGTCTGAGCCAAGCCGCTGCCTACCTCTAGCCTTTAATTCTTTTATTTGTATAAAAATACGTACTCTGTAGAGCCAATATACATCATACTATGGCAAATAACGCCTTTTCAGACATAATGCCGAAACAGCAATTGCATAGGAAATAGAGTGGATGTAGATACCGCTAAGTAAGTTGTCAGTACCATACTCAGTATGTTATAATCCGAAGCAGAAATATTAAAGTAATAAACTAAGCACTTCAATAAGACGTAAAACTATATTTAAATATGCCCGTAGGTCGTGAAAACGAAATAAAATAAACACATTTACTATCAATATATGCTCTCAGAATCAAGGATTGAATATAATTTCAAATCTTATTGGAAATAGTGCAATATTATTCACTAAAATTCTCATGTTGACTTTTAATGCCTCCCTAATACGTTCCTGTGCTTAGATCCAATAAATTGGCTGCATGATGGCAGAGCGCATTTCAGCGAACGGAGTACTTATCAAACGTACGGTCCTCAGACTCGAATACGATGTCACTTCAGACATTTACAGTATCCGATTACAATACGATGTTCGATAATAAATTTTTTATTCAATTCTATCGATGGCATTGTAACTGTTTGCTTTTTGTTTCTTGGTATAGTTGAATTCAACTACTCGCAGCTCATCTGGCTAGCAAAGTTCAAAAGAATGTCCCTAATATGCAAACTTGGACTTCAAACTCGTTTGTGATTTTATTATTCCGTAGTAGGTGAACGAAATTAACATTACACAAAATTAACCATAAGTACATCGTTTTGCGATACCACAAATATATTTCCCAATTTAGACCTCTACCATGAGTAACCAAGCTTATTAACAATTAGTGGAATGCAGTGTTTCATTTAATTTCACTTAGATATCTATTAAGAACTACAACTTGATGAGCGTAATCGCGAAATTAAAAAAATCGTAATGAAATCGTATCGCCATGTATAAACATTATAACTACCACAAGACGAACTAGTTTAGAGTTTATATAAACGCGTGCCGTGGGAGGGCACTCGACATGCAAACCGATCCTTTATTCTGCCGGAACACATTAATTTCTTTCGCTATTTCGACTAAGTAATTGGATCTTATGTCTATGCGGCTTGTTATGTTTAATTAAATAAGTGTAAAAGTTATTTTTATGTTACTTTAGATTACTGCTACATATAGTGATATCATATCTCTAGCAGTATATATTACCCAATAATAAATATCCGCCATATAAATAATTGAAGTATTCCCAATTTCCAAACAACTAAATTTGAATTTCTACTGAGCAAAGAAGATCGTTTGGAGATTCGGCAAAAGTTTCCCTTTAGTTGTTTTCTAGATCCAGTCGGAACTTATTGAAAAAAAGTTTTTACCTTCGGTGGGTGGACGACCTTACAGTCCACCTGGTGTTAAGTGGTTACTGGAGCCCATAGACATCTACGACGCCACCCACCTTGAGATATCAGTTCTAAGGTCTCAAGTATAGTTATAACGGCTGCCCCACCCTTCAAACCGAAACGCATTACTGCTTCACGGCAGAAATAGACTGGGTGGTGGTACCTACCCGCGCGGACTCACAAGAGGTCCTACCACCAGTAAATTTAACTAAAAAGTCTTTGGTCAGTAATAACTTGACATTGATGATGGCATAGTTTATTTCCTATAAAGGCATGGTCATTGCTATTTTTACGTTTTAGAGTACACTAAATAATCTATGTCTAAGCTAGCTGTTTCCTCCATTGAATCTTCTTTCTTATCTAATATCGTATTTATTATAGATTCGGCACCGGTTTCTGCTTTACGGTCATCTACGCCGCTCTCCTCACCAAGACAAACAGGATCTCCAGGATATTCAATGCCAGTAAACATTCAGCAAAAAGACCTATCCTCATATCTCCAACTTCCCAACTAGCTATATGCGCTGGACTTGTGTCCATTCAGGTATGAACTTGCTTTTTGGTAGGTTTAAAATTTGACAATAACTTGCCGCTTTTTTTAACCGACTTCAAAGAAGGAGGATGTTCTCAATTCGTCCATTTTTTTTATGTTTGTTACCTCATAACTTTTGACTGGGTGAATAGATTTTGATGATTCTTTTTTTATTAGAAAGCTGACGCTTCCCTTCTGATCCTATTTCAAATTAGTCCAGTTCTGATAATGGTATCCATGAGAAAACCATATAAGTCTTACATTTGTATTAAGTACGTGCGCGACAAATAGATGAATAACTCAATATCACGCCAACCGATTTCGATGATTATTGTTTTTAGTTTATATTAATTTGTTTTGGAATATATTTTTTTTCTATTTGATGTCGGTTTTTGTTAGAGCATGTCTATTTACAATTATTTTTAACGTAGTAGTAGTTTTTTGGTACCAGCACAACTAGGTGGAGTGCCACACGTTTCAATATCAAGTTGCCGGTATTTTTCCTACCACGTAAATGCAGACCACCTTAAAGTAATTGATCGAGGAATTATCGTATTGCAATTACGTAGGAGATTACACCCAAAAATATATAATTCTAGAACCATATCCAAGTTAAATGAACTTTCTTGAAGATCATTTTAAAAATCCCAGGACATTCGCTGCGAGAATAGATCGACCAAAGTACATGAATTTCTAAACATATCTCTAAAGCGTGCTCATCACTCAGAGTGCTCTGAGGAATTGTTTGAAATTGAGTTTGAGTAGAGTTCATCCATACTACCTAGAGCCACTGCGTTCATCCACAGTGCGTTTCCAGATATCTTTTTGCCACGTACCATCCGGCTTTGGAATGAGCTCCCCTCCACGGTGTTTCCCGAGCGCTATGACGTGACCTTCTTCAAACGAGGCTTGTGGAGAGTATTCAACGGTAGACAGCGACTGTCCTTAAAATTTCCGAAACCTATGGGCAATAGTAACTATCATAAGCTTATTCAGACGAGCTCCCATCTAACAACTTTTTTTTTGCTTGAATGGTTGGACGAGCTCACAGCCCACCCCACAGGTGTTAAGTGCTTACTGAAGCCATCTATAACATAAATGCGACACCCACCTTGAGATATAAGTTCTAAGGTTTCAGTATAGTTACAACGGCTGCCCTATCCTTCAAACCGAAACGCATTACTGCTTAAATATAATAGAAAGGTAATACCTAGAATAATAATCCTAATCTAATACCTAAAAATAGGCGGGGTGGTGTCACCTACCCGTGCGGACTCACAAGAAGTCCCACCACCAGTAACTTTTTAGCCATTCGAAACATTTCTTACAGGTACTTATAGTGGTGGTCTGGATGATAGTGGCCCCAGCCAGAGCGATGTTCCACTACCCGACCAGAGAAGACAATATGCTAGTTTGCGACTCCTACGTAGATGCTTCATACATGATAGCGTTTTTCTATCCCATCGTACTAATTCTCATCTGTACTGTCTACGCCGTTCTCACCAGGAAGATACCGGAGGCTTTCAACGAGAGCAAGCACATTGGTAAGTTTACTTTAATCAACTTTACGACATAATCTCTCTAAACTTGACATATATTTGCTAGAAGATGGTTCAAGGTGAAAATTTCAATTATCACTAACATTAGTTTAATCGCAGCAAACCATGAAGACAATTTGAGGCCGTCAGCGTAAAAGTGGCCTAACCCACAATTTTTCATAATCATGCTTATAATATTATCTATATTGCAATTTATTTAAAATATAATAAATTTTGATGCAAAACCGGCCTATCCATAGTTTCGCCTATAGATAACAGATGACTTTGTAAACATTATTTTTGCACGTATTGTTTGTTTGCCTACTCAAATTCAAATTCATGAAAACTTAAAACTCATTGCTCCATAATAACTATGGTGAGCTTAGGCCACTTTTGCGCTGACGGCAGTTCTCATAGTAGGTAGTTCTCATAGTATTGATAATTGAATCGCAATATTTTTAATAAGCCGCAAAACATACATACAATGTAACGAAATTAGAAATTTATATCTTTAAAAAGTATTTATTTAATTATTTAAAAAAGTATTGCCACATCACAAACATTTGACATTGAAAATAACTTAAACTATTTAATTTATGGCCTGATGCATGTGACAATAATGGCGTACATAACATTGGCAATTCATCGGCACGAAAATGGAATACAATAAAAAAAAGACTACCTAATGAATTATAATTATTTTAATTATTATTAATATTTAAAATCATATGCATCTTAAATATGCAAAATCTACTACAATGTTCTAGATAACACTTTATTTAATTGAACGTTGTAATTGCGCTTTCCTCAGTGTGCTTAGTGCGAGTATTATAACGTTCTCGATAGCGTAAAAGTTAACTCAAATTTGTATGGAGTCGGGACGTCCGTCTACGTTTTCCGCTAGGGGCGCTGTTCCAACTGCATACAAATTCGAGTTAACTTTTACGCTATCGAGAACGTTAAAAAACTCGCAAAAAGCACACAGATGAATTAGAAAATGTAACGTTTTTTTTTGTTTATTGCTGAGATGGATGGATGAGCTCATAGCCCACCTGGTGTTAAGTGGTTACTGGAGCCCATAGACATCTACAACGTAAATGCGCCACCCACCTCGAGATATAAGTTCTAAGGTCTCAGTATAGTTACAACGGCTGCCCCACCCTTCGAACCGAAACGCATTACTGCTTCACGGCAGAAATAGGCGGGGCGGTGGTACCTACCCATGCGGCCTCCCAAGAGGTCCTACCACCAGTGATTACGCAAATTATAATTTTGCGGGTTTTGATTTTTATTACACGATGTTATTCCTTCACCATGGAAGTCAATCGTGAACATTTGTTGAATACGTATTTCATTAGAAAAATTTGTACCCGCCTGCGGGATTCGAACACCGGTGCATCGCTACAAACGAATGCCCCGGACGTCTTATCCTTTAGGCCACGACGACTTCTATCACGTGGACCAATATCGTTTTTACTGGCATAATCGTTGAAATACCAAAATTAAATCAGTTTGAAGTATCCTAATTGGACGTCCACAATCCACAATCAGTGTCCGTTCTAAAATTAAGTCACGCACCTTCGAAATTAAATCAAAACTATCGGTAACGAGTCACGGTCCGAAGGTTTGTTTTAATTGAATATTCGGAAAAACAATTAGAGTCCGCCCCCGCCAGCTCATGTTCAATTGAATTGGGTCAGAACCCAATTACAACAAGAATACCTTGCAAACAATGAATTTAAAGCAGTTCCTTGAGATGTTTTTGAGGCGGTAGCACTGTAACAAGTCCACTATACGCCCTTGATACTGATAGTTCTTGTTACAAGTGAGCACACGCCTACATAACACCATGGTGCTGATTTTTTGCTGCTAATTTCTCCACCTAATGTAAAATATATGGTTAAGGGAAACCTTTTTCAAAAATTACATTTAAACATGTGGTTTTTTTACTTTTATCTTAATGTTTCGACCTGCTTATTGAATTTTAAAATTTAATAAATGCTGTACTAAAATTGAATAATGCGTTTCGGTTTGGAGGGTGGGGCAACCGTTGTACTGTAAAAACTGAGACCTTAGAACGCGTGTTCAAGTTGGCTGGCGGCATTTCGTTCTAGATGTCTATGGGTCTCGGTAACACCTTAACACCAGGTGGGCCCTGAACTCGTCCACCCATCTAAATAATAAAAAAAAACAGTTACTTGAAATAAGATAGCAAAAGTTAAAGTTAACGCCCAATGAACCGTAAAATTGAATATTTAATTATGTTTCTACAAAATCGCTAACGCCTTTCACTGTAACCTCCGCCTCTGCACATTCATAAGCGACGCCAGACTAATAATAGAGTTTTACTTGCATGACCAGAGTCAATGTTTCAATCAAAGACATTCAAATATATACGACCTTTTATTTGAAACACTAGATGATGACCGAGCTTTGCTCGGCTTTTTTTTTATAACGCCATTTTTTTTTTTTTTTTNATCGACGCGTTTGAGATGTGGTGCTGGAGGAAAATGCTGCGGATTCCCTGGACGGCGCATCGGACAAACGCATCAATCCTGGAAGAACTAGGCGTCTCCTTAAGACTCTCCACCATTTGCCTACGTAGGATCTTAGAGTTTTTCGGTCACGTTGCGAGAAAAAAGGGTGACAATCTCGAAAGACTTCTCATCAGCGGCAAAGTGGAAGGTAGGAGGCCTAGGGGGCGTAGTCCCATGCGCTGGTCCGATCAGATTAGGACGACTTTGGAATCCAGCATCAATGTCGCTATCCACTGCGCGGAGGACAGAAGTGAATGGAAGAACAAAGTCCTGACAAAAGTGCTCAGTAAAGGTCACGACCCTCAGAACTGAGGAATACGACGCACGGAGGAGGATACAGTGCTAAGACTCTACTATTCTATTTACTCAATGCTGAGTATGATCGGAATATACAGCATATTCATTGCATATTTACGCTTAGCTTTGCCAATTAAAATGGTTTTCTATTCACTGAACTCTCACTATGGCATCGATCAAATAACACGCTTGGATCTCATACAAATGCTCAATTCGATCTTTGAGCATTGACGTCCATTAAATGGAAGGTATCTCTTTTGTACGGCAATACTTATCTGGTATAATTCACATTCAAATTAGATTCTTAGTATTCTTTCTTAGACTAATAATTAAAATATTATAATATAATATAATATAATAGCTTGATATGAATAGTTCAGACTATCTTGAAATTTCCTCAAGCAGAGTTTCCGACTATCTGACACTACTTAAATCATAGGTATTTCATTAATTAATTGTATAGTAATCTTAGTAGTAAACTAACATAACTGTTGTATTGAGGTCTGACAAACCCGAAGTAGACCGGAACGTTTACATAAATCGTAATTTTTCGAATTCAATCGGTCGGTAACTAGTACAAAAAAATGTGTGGAAATAGACACACTAAATATGCGCGACTGTAGGTTCTAAGCCCTAAATACGCCATTACAGATCCTCCCGATCCGTTAACGGCGCTTTTAGGTACCTCAAGCACCGGTCACCGTCCTCGATGGGCTCGGCGAGTAAATGAACCTACTGCCCACTGAGTTTCTCGCTGGATTTTCTCAATGGGTCGCGTTTCCGGTTCGATGGTAGATTCAGCGAAGCACTGCTCTTGTTAGGACCAGTGTTAGCAACACCTACGGCTTGAGCCCCGAGAGCTCACCTACACGCTAGGGCTGCGCTAATATAACCTCTCAGGGCTATCAGCGCAAGGGGAAAAAAAGGTACTAATGGCGGCTTATTAGACTACGAAATACCCAACCAGTCCTATAGAATTCAATTCTCTTCACGCCTCTCATTAGAATAAGTACACAGCATTGTCTGGTATAGTATTGTTCTGGCTCTATTGTTGGAAGACAAAGCCACGCAGGTTATTAACTGTCGATGCTCTACGCTTCTAATTGCGACTATCATTTACGTTACAACCGGATGTTTGATTGCGGAAATGCATTTTATTGTATTGAGGTTCTTTTAGGTCCTAACTTGGGAGTTGAGTATCTGTTATAATATTTACATACACAATACAAAGTACATCACATAGGCCCAATAATCATGTATGTACATATATTCATAGTTTCTCCAGCTGTTATATCATTGCATTACTGTTCAGCCATTGTTAGGTAGGTGAGTGTATGATGGGTATATGTACATATATGTGAAGCCTTCATGAAGTACTAGTATTCTTGATAGCTATATCCTTATCCACCTAAATCAAATATGCAATGCTAGTAGTAGAGCATGATAAATGTTCACGACAATAGTGTGCTTAGTGTGAGTTTTTTAACGTTCTGGATATCGTGAAAGTTAACTCAAATTTGTATGGAGTTGGAACAGCACTCCTAGCGGCAAACGTAGGCAAACGTTCCAACTCCATACAAATGTGAGTTAACTTTTACGCTATCGAGAACGTTAACAAACTCGCACTGGACGGTATTGGCTGTTTCCGAAACATCTGACACTTCAACTTTGAATTTCAAGGTGAAAGTTGTGGTGTTTTTGAGTGTTAGTAGCAACTGAGCATCAGATGTGTGTTTACTGGTGGTAGGACCTCTTGTGAGTCCGCACGGGTAGGTACCACCACCCTGCCTATTTCTGCCGTGAAGCAGTAATTAATGCGTTTCGGTTTGAAGGGTGGGATAGCCGTTTTAACTATACTTGAGACCTTGGAACTTATATCTCAAGGTGGGTGGCGCATTTACGTTCCAGATGTCTATGGGCTCCAGTAACCACTTAACACCAGGTGGGCTGTGAGCTCGTCCACCCATCTAGCAATAACAAAAAAAAAGGAGTTGGCCCATTTACGCAGATATAAAATGGTTGGGGTTTTGGAATCTGAAAGGGCAACAAACAGCTATCCTAATATAAGGTGTACAACAATAAAGTTGCTAAATCACGAGGCCTACATCCCGATCGCATTTGGGTCATTGCCGGCCCTTCGAACAGGAATACGGAATTCTTCACACCAGATATACTCGTAGATAGGACGATTGAACGCAAAATTGCCTTGAGTAATTCGAACATTAATTAGCACATTACGGTATTATTCATATCTCTCAAAATATTAACGAAAAAGTCCTATGAGTATTAGAAATATTGAAGTAAAAAAAAATATTTTAAAACATTTTCTATGCATGAAGAGTGTGAGACTTAGTAGAGATACCTTCATTCGGAGAAGCAGTGCATAAAAATAAAAGGTCCTGTCAAATGTGTTATACATTTATTTCAAATTTAAAAAAAAATACATTCAAAGCTGTAAAAAATTTACATTAAATTACCGTCGTAATTCAACCGTTAGGGTACTATTAATGCTGAAAAATGTGCTCTAATTTTATGATTACGAATTCGTAAAAAATATCAAAGCGACATCGGAATGATGAATCATCGCGTTGAACGTTTAAATCATTAGGCGAAATTAGTGTCATTCCAGGCCAGAGCCTGGGACCGCGGGATTCAATGACAGCTTGATTTATCGCGCGACATTAGTTTGTTAGGGTTGTAGCACACTTGACAAAAGCATTTTAAAGTCTATGTAGTTTTTTTTGTTCATTGCCTTTGTAGGCATACGAGCACACGGCCCACCTGATGGTGAGTGGTTACCATGGACTTCAGCAATACCAGGAGCACAGGCAAGTCGGTGCCTACCGCTTAACACTCTCCACAAGCCTCGTTTGAAACTCTAGTGAACGATGCCGTGAATCTTCCCCTTTATTTTCTTTTTGGCGGGCGTTATAATGACGTGTTCTAGTTTAGTTTCAGCTCATCTCTCCATGAACTTTAGAATGTTAAAGAAATGGTGCCGACCGTGATTTGAACATTATACAAATGAACTCTAAAATTGTAAAGTCTATTTTCTAAAGCTTTTACAGAGGGAGTTTGCTTGCTCTGTAAAAGATTTAAAGCACTGTTTGAACTAACCTCGCCATTATGGATAGGCTTCATTAATCCACAGTGAAGTGATTGTGTCTGCGTCATTATACTTTTTTTTCATTGCCTTTGTAGGAAGACGAGCATACGACCCACCTGGTGGTGAGTGGTTACCGTCGCCCATGGGCGTCAGCAATGCCAGAGGCAGAGCCAAGCCGCCGCCTACCGTTAAGTACTCTCCACAAGCCTCGTTTGAAGAAGGACATGTCATAGCGCTCGGGAAGCACCGTGGAGGGGAGCTCAATCTAAAGCCGGATGGCACGTGGCAAAAAAGATCTTTAGAAATGCACTGTGGATGAACGCAGTGGCTCTAGGCAGTATGGATGAACTCTTCTCCGGTGGCGGGCGGTGCGATGGTAAAAACGAGATGATGGGATCATCTCAAACAATTCCTCAGAGCACTCCCCATGGTACATACGGTATAAAATACAGAGTGAATTCCCTCCGCAGACCCAAAGGTCACAAACGATCCGTGAGAGTTCATTACAAATTTCCACTCACTGTTTAACTTTATTGCCACGACATATCTTTCCTTAGGTATATGAAACGCCATTGCTGCGCTAACATACATTCGTGAGTGACTATTTATAGAAAAAGGATTGTCTGGTTTTATGAAACCACGGTAAAAGTGAAACTTTTTTTCACATTATAGACATTTAACTCTGACAAACAACATTTAGATTAAACATTGACAAAAACAAACAAAATAGCGTGGAGCACTGGCACAAATGAGTAATAGTCTATACACTACACGGTCAGCTGCTGCGAACTATAGGCGCCGCCATATTGGCCTTGGCTGCTCTGACGAGCGCCTTTCACTTTATCCCTGCTGCGCAGCCGACCATCACGCGACATGCAACACACAGACGAAAAAGTTTGAGACGTGGTAATAAAAGTTTCACTGAGTTTCAAAAGTCAGGTGTTCAGAACCAGAACACATTATCGCTAGTCCACAGAAATTTTGCCGCCTAATATAAAATTCATGTCATAAAATTTTAAAAAAAGTTTATGGAAATGTGTCATGTCATGAGACGCAGCCTTTAGGCTCGAATCCTGCGATTTCACGGTTGTTTTCGTACGAGCGCGTTGATAAATGTAGCCCAACTAACAAATGTTTACATTTAATATCGTCTTCCCGTGTCTCACCCGGATAAGACACTCGATTTCAGTTTTGAGCGTGAATAAGCACGCTCTGTTATCTGTTATTGTCTACTCTGTTTGGGGAAACAGATAATTTGATGTCTTATGTTTTTTGAATTAAAACTTTTTTAGCACCGTTGTCATTTGAAAGTCGATGAAACGAAAAAGCGACAGTAAAAAGAGACAGACACATAGATTCATTAAGATTTAACGTGGGAGAAAATGAGATAGGAAGCATTAGACAGTGTTTCTTATATTCGTGGTTCTCTTTGTGTTATGCTTCGTACCTAATATTCGTAACTAATTCATTCTGAATAAATCAAATTTTGTATCACTATGATCATTAGTAAAACCTCCAATTATCCTCTTCCCGAAATTTTACATTCGTCTCATTATCTTGAAGCCAAAAATTTTTAAGGTTTCACTTGTACCACGTGTGAATTGCACACACGTTTTTTTTTTTTTTTTTCATTGAATTTGGCAAGTTCGTGGGCCTAAGGTTGGTTACTCTGATAATAGAAACCAGAATAAGAGAGATGGCATCCACTTTGAGACGTGAGACCTGAGTCTCGGTTTTGTTTTGCTAGCAAACGGCCAACCCCTGATACCGACACCGTCCGCCCGAAGCTGGAATAACCTCTTAGGCTACCTTCGCTTCGAGAAGGCGGCACGACATGAGAACCCTCTTGTCGTGGCCACTGGAAACTACATACCCGATCCTGTAGACCAGATGGTAAACAGTCGACGTCGCCCAAAGCACGTCATTGCGGATGCCTCCGATCCATTAACGGTGCTTTTAGACACCACAACCAGCGGTCACCGTCCTGGTCAAACCTGTCGCTTGCGACGAAGGGCTCGACGAGCGAATTAACCCATAGACACAGCCCACTGAGTTTCTCGCCGGATCTTCTCAGTGGGTCGCGTTTCCGATCCGGTGATAGATTCTGCGAAGCACTGCTCTTGCTGGGGTCAGAGTTAACAATACTCTGGTTTGAGCCCCGTGAGCTACACATATTAGGGCGAAGCTGAAATAGCCTCTCAAGGCTATCAGCATAGGTAGGAGAAAAAAAAAGGCTACCAGACAATAAAGGTAGGAAAAATCACACCGAACTACAAAGTATCATTAGTGGTAAAAATAAACGGAATAAAAATAACCATGTTAGTTTACAATATTAGTCTAAAAGAAATCACGAAATTTAATAAATTCTGTGGTTTTTGTTTTTATCACCCAATGTTATTCTTTCGCTGTAACGTACGTGTAATTGTTGAGCAGATTAAGAATATGAGTAAAGATTTATTCGAATTCCTGTTCAAATATATTCGAAAATTTATAGTCCATTGGACGGTTTTACACTAGTCACCTCAAATTTATCCACATTTACGACAAACACATTTCCCGTGGGTTTCAATAATGTCACTACGCTACAATTTCAATGACGATAAACCAATTACAAGCGGTTTGGTTCCAATTACTCTCGATTTTGACATGTCGGCTGCGCTACGTGCCACTCATTTTAATAGCATTTTGGTAACTGCACATTTCTGCATAGAAATGGGTATTTGCGTTCCGTAAGTATATTTATAGGTAACTTATGGTCTTGTTATATCTATCCCACTGAGTTTCTCGCTGGATCTTCTCAGTGGGTCGCGTTTCTAATCTGGTGGTAAATTCTGCGAAGCACTGCTCTTGATAGGGCTAGTGTTAGCAACGTACTGAGGTCAGAGCCCCGTGAGCTCACGTACTCGTTCCGTTACGCTAGCATAGCCCCAAAGGCTATCAGCATAGGTAGGAAATCTTATTATCATCTAAAATGCATATCTTAGAATAGTCCTCTGCCAATTTATTTGAAAAGTAGGTGTTTTTGGATAAACAGATTTACGAAAAGTGCGTTAAATCGCCCAGTCTACACGTAGCAACTGATACCATTGTGACAAAGATCAAACGCAGCAAAAAACACTATTTTAAAGGAAATATGTAGTACATAACACGTATTCATGAGCTACATATACTTGTAAGAAAACAAGATCGTGTAAGTAATGTGAAACTCCAAAACTTTCCGAAGACGTCTTTTGTGAGTGTGATAGGGTGTTTTTGAGTCGCACGGATAGGTTGATAGATAACTATGCCAGTTTCTACCACGGACCCGTTGTGATTTTTAGTTTCCATCTTAAGTTGGCCAGACGTTGTGATGGTACAAGCTCCGATAACTATGCCAGATGGACCACTAACTCAACTACCAATTTACCAACATAATATATCCCGTTGAGATTTTTTTAATAAGTTAGGGAACTTTGGTGTAAACAGTACCCGAGGAAAGGCGATGTCTTATAAAGTGCACTACCACTGAACTAATGACCACGACCGCTCTATCTAGAGTGCAACGACTGAGAATAAGAGTGGACCTTCACAAATGGAAACTCCTGGTAGTTTTTTTTTATTGCTTAAATGGGTGGACGAGCTCACAGCCCACCTGGTGTTAATTGAATACTGGAGCCCATAGACATCTACGGCGTAAATGTGCCAGCCACCTAGAGATATAAGCTCTAAGGTCTCAAGTATAGTTACAGCAGCTGCCCCACCCTTCAAACCGAAACGCATTACTGCTTCACGGCAGAAATAGGTAGGGTGGTGGTACCTAACCGCGCGGACTCACAAGAGGACCTACCACCAGTAAAAAAAATTCCAGTTCCACCAGTTCTTTGTCCTTACTCTTAAAGGTTTTACAATGTACACCACCTGCGTCATCTGGTTGGCATTTGTGCCGTTGTACTTCGGTACCGCGAGCCACGTGCCTTTGAGGGTCACCAGCATGGCGGTCACCATCTCCCTGAGCGCCAGCGTCACGCTCATCTGCTTGTTCTCGCCAAAGGTAATCTATCCAAAAGTATATTTAAAAGTAGATTACGTATGCTACTTATAAATTCCGAAACGGCTTGACCATTTTTGATGAAACTTCAGATAGGTATCTTCAAATATGCCCAGCGGCTAATTCTGATAGGTTTGATAGCGGTTTCATTAAGGTCAAATTAAACATAGGCAAGCAAAGCGGGCAGGTGGTACATACCTAGCTAGTAATACTACTATACACTCAGTCCCTATTCCTATACCTCTTCACGAGTAATAGCCGTACGCAATGGCTTAACAGACACAGTATTCACAAGCTATGTATGAAAACAGATTATATTATAAATGTAAATGTCTCGCTTTCAGCTGTATATAATACTCATCCGTCCGGAGAGGAACGTGCGTCAAAGCATCATGCCGGTGAGGTATAGCCGGAAGCCGCCGCCGCCGCATCCGCTAAACATCCAAGTCAAAAGTGAGTACTTTAGCCATTTAACTCCACTCTTTACTCATGGTTTTTGAGGTCACTAGAGAGTAACACGAAAGCAAGTTCCTAAATTTAATACGATTAACTATGAATATAGGGAGAGTTTATGAAGCTTAGTTTTGTTTATAATCGTTTTAGCGAACCCTCTTATTTATTATGTTAGCAAAGTTAGGTATCGAAAGCTCGTCTGCCTTTGATGGCAATAACAGTAACAAGAGTTTATATTAAATTACTATAGATGCATTATTTTTCTTCTCGCTTCGGTTTCCTTAATACCGAGGTTCTTGACCACCTCCCCGCAACAATAGTTTATTCTGGATCATTCTACGCCATTCTAGATGCATTAATGAGAATTAATAAATCAAAATCGGTAAAGTAAAGATGAGTTGTAAATTTTTTCAATGGAAAGAAACTATTTTATAAAATAAATGGTACGTAGACACAAACAACAGTAATGAGTACTGATTAACGCAAAAAGTAACCTAATTTGTTATTGATTCTTTTAAGTGATTTTATGACCTGGTAACTAAGACCCTTAAGTCATGTCTATTTTAATTCTTATTTTCATGAAAAATGATAATAGGGAGTGAAATGAAATGAAATAAAATTAAATGAAGATGATTTGATTTGGAGCATTAATCAACTGGGATGAAATGAAATGAGATGAGATGATATGGGATGACATATAATCTCAGTAAAATGGTGGTCATTAACTGAAATTTTTTCAGTGGACTTTTTGGAGGATCCCGAGAAGTTACATCTAGCGACTTTGTTTCATTTTCCCTCATTTGTGCACTTTCACAGATATTAAACAGTTAATAAACCACCGCTATTAGGTATACATTTAAACCTAAACACTAAATAGACAAAATAAAACAAATCACACAACTTCACTCCTTGCGTTCCCGCCAAAAAGCCAATTTGTTATTGACGATTTGTCACTTCACAGAACCACCGTGCGCTGACAAAGAGACGCAAACGGATCCAGCTGTGTTCAAGTTGTCCAACGGGCAAGTTGTCAACGACACGACACGGAAAGAAGAGAAGATAAACAAAGATGAAAAAGCAAAAGAAACAAAACAATGTAACAACGTAAACAATGTTAGCGATTCGAAGAACACGCAGACTGAAAAGACCGCCTCCTTATAGCACAGACATTCCTCAAAGTCACTCAATGAGGTGTCTTTTAGCAAAAACAACAATTCGATTATTAAGAAAAAAAGTTGTTCGTGCAAAATAAAAGAACGTAAGCCTGTTATTGTGTAAAAAAATATGTTATATCAAATAATTTAAAGGAAACCAAAATTGTGCTTGTAGAATATCAATATACGCATTTGATGTACATACTGACATATCGATTAAATATATCAATAAAGTTTATAAAAATGATTTTGTAAATAAATAAGTAAATCAGTTATTTTAGGTTATGACGCGGGAAAATATGTAAATAAACTGTCAAAAAAGTGAAGACAAAAATAGTGATGTTAATGTACATATAAAAAACAAATAATTTAATGTAGCGCTATGAATGTTGGTTAATTTTCATATCGGAATTATATCTATGTAACGAAACATATATCACAACATATAATTGTGAATAAGTTGATCTAGTTTAACATTGGTAAGTCTCAGAACATGGTATGTACAGGCAGAGCTGTGAGCCAGGATGGTAGAAACAAAACGTTCTCTAAGAAAATAATAATAAGTTTAAGGATGTTACATATTCAAAATGTAAGATTTAAATAGTAAATAATTAATGTGCTCCGTCATTATGTAATCATGAAATTGCTCAATTGCTTCATCGTATCCATATCAAATAATGTTCTTCTATAAATAATATAAAATAAATATTTGTAGCGGTTGTATAATGTTATGAGTACATTATTATTGTAGTGTTCTTCTTTATGCTAAATAGTTATATTTGTGTCTCTACTATCCTGCTCTTCCTGTACATATTATAATCGGCTACTTAATTGTAACAATATAAGAATCATGGAATAAACAGTTTTGATGTTATCTACAGTTTTATTGTTTATGCCCAAATTAACTTTTAATTTGGAATGTTTTTTTTTTACCTAATCTTTACTAAATAATATCTACACGTATAGATCCAATTCCTTTGGACTGTCGCAGAAGACAAAACAGACGACAATGAAGTTAACGTATCGTATCCGTCACATATAGGTTAAGACGCCCGGTACATTCGTATCGAACGATATGACTACCGGCGCTCCTATCCCGCAGATAGGTACCATTTTATCTAGTGAAATAGGTACTTAACTATTGTTCAGGAATGACTTGCACGGTGAACGAATAACATCGTGTAGGTAATTAAAATCAAACTCGCAAGATTACAATTTCTGTAATTATTAGTCGTAGGGAGTCTTTTGAGCTCACACAGAGAGATACCACAAACCTGCCATCTCTTCCGTGAAGCAGTAATGCGTTTAACTTCGGCTTGAAGAGTGTGGCAGCCGTTGCACTGTAAAAACTAAGATTTAGAAAATCTTGTCTCAAGATGGGCAGCGGCATTAACGTGGTTGATGTCTATGGGCTCAGGTGACCACTTAACATTAGGCGGACCGTGAGCACAACCAACTATCTTAGCAATAAATAAAAATGCTAAATATCCTTTAGCGGAGACTTTTTGGCGGGAATGTCGGTTGTCGAGTTGTATGAATTGTTTTATTTTGTATTTTGTTTCTTTAAGTTTAAAAGTGTAATAATGGTAGTTTAAAACTGTTCTAGTTCTGTTCTATATTTAATTTTCCCGCCACAAGCGAGAACTTCCACCTTAACAATAATTAATGAAAACGCCTATTAAGTCATGTAGTTTGTAAGTTGTGACCAAAATAAGCAAACACTTTTTTTCACTGTTTTTCACAGAACCCTATGTGTGCAAGTCTGATTCGCACTTGACCGCTTTTTGGATTTACCTAATTCCTTTTTATTAAATCGGCAAAGTCTAGATTGGGTAAATATCTCATTATTCTGAATTCTGTTAGCCATTATAATAGCTTATAAAGAACTTACTTACTTTTATTTCTTCTCTCCATTTGTTTGGGGGTTGCCATGGCCCGTTTGGTCAACTGATTGGTAATTTCGTTTCAGATGTCCGCCTCTCACGTGGCTTAGATGTTTTACACGGACGTGGGGTTGGGCTTTGAGAGGAAATAGCTTATAAAGAAACAAATATAAATCTAATCTATAATAATTATAAATCTGACGGCGAATTTTTCAAGTTGGCAAAACTGTACAAACAACGGAAAGAATTCAGGGGAATTTCCTGCAAGTTATGAATTTCTTTCAACTGAGTTGCCACAGTTAAACTCGTGTTGCTCTCTGTTATATTTATATCCTTAGGGTGGGAAAAATATAATGTTTGAGATTTTGCTGGTGAGGGTCCAAGGACCCCTTGAGCTTGAGGGCCCCGGTGCACGGCACCACCTAGCCCTTCGATAGCTACGCTACTGGACGTAACTTCTCGGGATCCTCCAAAAAGTCCACTAAATAAGTCCCAAGTAAATGACTACCATTATACTGAAATTATACTTCATCCCATATCATCTCATCTCATTTAAAATCATGCCAGTTGATTAATGTTCCAAATTAATCAATTTCATTTCATTTCATTTCACTTCTTATTATCATTTTTCATTAAAAAAAATTATAAAAGATTAGGCTGTATGGTATGAGACTTTTGCCTTTCCAGTTCGAAAAATAGAAGTACTACTATTACTGTCATAACATAACCCTTAAAATAATTCAAAATTGAACAACTTTATTAATAATATATACTTTAAAATCTTGTAAAATACGATATTTGCGATCGAATATGATATAATACACTTTTAACAATTACGCGACTATATTTTGTCTGGGAATACCCAAAGAACCAATTAATAAATACCTAATTCAAAAGCTCAGATAACCAAACCAAATAGACGTCGATTTAATAGATTCTGTAAAAAAAGCATTATTTAAATGGAAGACGAAACAGTACAATTTTTAAGACAAACGAATCGTAACCAATTGTTATTACATCGACGTAAACTGAGAGATGAAGAATCCGACAGCCGGCGCTCTAACTTTAGGTACCAAAGAAACTATTATGAAATAATACGTATACTATTCATACAACAGATAATTACATGATATAGACCTTAATTTACACTAACCCTGGAAATATACTCCAATTCGCTTGAACGGACTTTCAATAGTTTCCTAAAAAATTAAGCTAGTATTGTGATTGATTGTCCCACATCTCTGGTTCCTGTATTTTTTGTCACTTTCAAAATATTCCAGTTTAATTTTGCTTGTGTGCCTTTTTTTACTCCTTACACATTGTTAGAATAAATTTGCCAAGAGAACATTTATCGTCAATTGAAATCGGTAAACAAAACAAAATGATAATAAATCATGTACAGGAAATGATTAAAATTTTATTATTTATTGCAGCATTTCATCCGAAAATATCAAAGATATTGTGAACAAATTAAAGACTAAGACATCAATATCGGTGACTGAATTAAGTGCCTTAAAGAACATGCTCAATGATGATAGAAAAACAATGGAACTGGTACTTAGTGTCAATGGTGCTTTGAGAGGTCTGATAAGAGAATTAACAGGTGACAATATAACTTTTAGCCTGGGAAGCAGAGGTATAGCCAAGGTTTCTTCCACATTGAAATTTCGTCATAGTCCCAATTTAAGTGTCCAAAATGTCTGCCCATACTTCAAAATGAAATGCATTATTCCATCATAGAGGAATAGAGAGAATCTAACTCACATTACACATTACCAATAGTAATTATGCTAAAATTATTAAATAAGTCTTAAATATAAATAAAGACAAACTTCATTTCTATGATTTCAGGAAATGATATTGCAAAACAGTGCCAAGCGGCTGGCTGCATCTGCAACCTAGCCCTAGGTGATAGGAGAGCTGGTGTTGCCGTAACTAAATCTGCTGGACCGTACCTTATCGCTGCACTTGACAATCTCACCACCGAACTAGCTGTAAGCTGTTGCTGTTTTTGATACATATGGCTATCTAAATTACAAATAAATTACTAAAATCAAACAATGCATTCTGTTAAAGGAACAAGCAGCAAGCAAATTAAATAAAACTGTTATCAAATTAATAGATAATATAGAATATGACAAAAAATAAAACAACATTTGAAATCAAAATTTAATAAATGTAAGGAGGCCTGGTGTTAGCTCATTTCCAGCTCTCAAGGCTTTCTCTGGGGAAAAAGAGATTCCATAGAGAATTTACAAAGATTTTTCTTTTTTTTCCTACCTGATCATTGGTAGCCTAATGGGCTATTCTAATATTGCGCGGACTGGCCATCTACTGGGTTCTGGAATAGATGGATATTTCTTAAGACAACATGGCTTCCTCTAAATAAAGTACAGAAATATCTTCACACAACAACTTATCTTTGACTGTGGTATTTCATATGCCTATGACCATTACTACTACTGATCAGTTTAATGGTTTACATGCTTAAAAAAATAACACCAACAAATAATGATAATTTCAGGTAACTTGTGCCTGGACAATAGGTAACCTGGCAGGATCTGGCCCCAGAGCGTGTGATCTACTTGTGTCTCAAGGTGCAGTTTCCAAGCTAGCTGGATTACTGTCCCACAGTACTCAGGACGTGCGAGATGCTGGGCTAGAAGCACTAGTGCACTTTGTATACACAGTTGAGGATTTAAAGTAAGAACAAAATTGAATTGATTTTTTAATTACTACTATTTAGTCCATGACCGAATACCGATCATAATCACTCACACCTCAAGATTAATTTCATATGTTACGTTGTTATTTTTGTTTTGTTATTGATATTATTAAAAATTATTAACAATGTCCAAGAATAAGAAATTTATAACACTAAAGTTTGTTAATATTTACCATACAAAAAAAAAACAGTTTACACACAAACCATAAAATGATATGAACTATTCTTCTATATCTTTGACTATTTATATACAAATATTTATGAAGCATTGTATTATATTATGTATAGTATGATTCATTTACAGTAGACAGAGATGGGATTTAAATAATTAAAAGTAGTTTCAAAACTATAAAATAATGCTTGAAGAGCAAGTCAGATTAAAAATTCTCTTAAGTCAAGTAATATTATATTGTCATTAGTGTCATTAGTCAAATGTATCTAAATTTTTAAGTTTGAATGTATTGCAATTAGTGTAAATTACATTGTAAGATACAATTATAAACATACATAGATACTAGTCAAACTTATATAAGTATGATAAAATATCCTAAAAATAATAATTTCTCATTTCAGATCAGATCATCTAGAGAGAATAGTAGTAGCGGTACAAAAATTAGATATATCAGAACAAACTTCACAGATATTGTTCTATCTATCTTGCCAAGAAGACTTCACAGCTTCACTGTTGGCAGAAGAATATATTTTAAAAATCATAAACATTGTACTGGAAAAGATAGAACACAGTCTGAATAAAGAAAATGAACAATTTATATTTTTAACAAGAACATTAGCGAATATGTGCGATAAGAGTGTGTATACACTGATTTTAAATATGTTAATGGAAAGAAATTTGTGTTGCCAGATGAAAAAAATGTTACAGTGTGAACACGCAGAGATAATTTTGTGGTTATTGGGTAATATGTTTAATATTTGTGGTGAGCACCTTTTCTTCACGGAGCTCTTGAGGTAGCTAATAAAAGATAAGGTCGCTGTTTTGTTTTCGTTAATTTAATCCTTTCACTACTATCGATGACTATACTCACTTGCCACAAAATGCCGCCTGTACGTTGGGTGATGTGTGGTGTGGTGTGGAATACCCGCTTTGGGCTACCAGCAAACCGGTAGGTAAAAAAACTTGATGTGCGCAAATTCACACATCTTTTTTTTTTAAATTGCTTAGATGGGTGGACGAGCTCACGGCCCACCCCATGTTAAGTGGTTACCGGAGCCCATAGACGACTACAACGTTAATGCGCCACCCACCTTGAGATATAGTTCTAAGGTCTCAGTATAGTTACAACGGCTGCCCCACCCTTGAAACCCATGAAACACGAAAACGAATACAAGCGGCCGCACTTGCGGTTTTTTCCCGCGACTGATTTTAAAACCGCGAAATGTTACAAAATTGTCGCGGAAAAAAACCGCAAGAAAATTTGTAATCCATAGAACTAGGTATCCGTGCACGCACTATGCGTAACCGCGGGCGGTTTTTTTGAAATGTCAAATACATTTGCGAAACTTTGTTTCCATGAAACTGGCTACTGACATCCGATAGTAATTGAAAAATTTCTCTAGGGGTTTTCTTAAATTTCGATATTTCTTATGAAAGAAACCTTTCTCAAATCTACGGCTAGAAAGTGGATAGACCCAACATTTGTAAAATTTTCGTTGTCTTTTTATCTATTTCTTAGTACCAGAGCCACACTGCTACTGTTCTTTTGAAATTTATCCATCTTCAAACTGTGAAAATCGCGGGCGAATTCGCGGTTAATAATTGTAGTGTGTGCGTATTAAGCGGTTTCGCGGTTACAGCGGTTAACCGCTCCCGGGAAAAAACCGTAGTGCGGCCTAGGCCTTACTGCTTCACGGCAGAAATAAGCAGGGTGGTAGTATTTACCCATGCGGACTCATTCTTCGGCAGTTATAACAGACATCCCCTTCAAACGTTCAAGACTCGTGGAGCGCTATTACGTTGACACCAAAACCTTCGAAATAAAACAAAACTACTTCGCTATAAATATATTTCCATCGTGTCGAATAATCATGACGTCTCAATATTAATCACAATAATTACTATTTGATTATAATATAAGGAATAAGGACTACAAAATTGGCATATTCTGGTAGATAAAGACCGTTACGATACGAATCACGTTAGCCCAAAAAACTACATTAAAATTTGATAAAATCAAATAAAGCTTATTTTCATTTAATACCTACACCAGTCATATGTTGAAACGATATAATGAAATACAAATATGAATTTTTTAGCCAAAAACCCGTGTAATATAAAATTGATGAAACAGATCAACTCTCCGATTCTGAATACAAACAAAGTATTTTTCATTCCTCTCCAAAATTTTACATAGGACTATTTCTTCTCACAATTTGAAAAGTATTTATGTCAAAGTCAAGCTGTATCCACTCTAACGCACATGAATAGAGCGAAAGTTACGAATAATTGTTTTTTTAGCATCACTGCACTGTACGCTTTTATTTATGGCGAGTAAGGTCAAGGACACACAGCCCGGCTCGAAGTGCATCGACCCGCTTTTTTCTTTTCAGACAGACCGGATCGTATACGCTTAGAATTAATTGGCCGAAGCGGAGCCACCAACTATTTCACATATGGAAGAGGTCTGAAAGCGGAAATTGGAGCCGATTGGCTACGCGTGCAAGAAAGAGCGCGCAATTGGAGCCGGTCAGCTCCGCTTATTTTCATTTCCTACGCAGCGCGTTCAAGCATTCATAGTGACAAAAAAGTGCACATGCGAAAATAAACTTTACTACAATTACTCAAAACTCTTCTTCCAGCGTGATAAAAATCTGCTCTCCTCTCCGAGCTGATCTGTGCGGACGTACCCTAGAAGTAAGGAGCACCATCTCAATGTATTAAAAAGTGTCCGCAGAAAGGGGGCCAAATAAGGTGGTGCCATAGTAGTAGCAAGTGGAAAGATTTAAAAAATAGCGCCATAAACCACCCCGGTTCACTTCAATCCAGCACCCCTCACTCTGTTTAAAACTGCTATATTCATATCATTCCCACTTCCTACAGTATTGTTCTTTCGGTGAGTCTTTCAACAACAACTTGCTGTTTACAGGTGGATACTTTTTCTACTTGTACCTTAAACAAGATGGCGCTCCTTACCCTCCATAGTTGTATTGAATGATATATTCACTTAAGTAAAATTAAAATAGGCTGTATGCATGACACAAGCTGTAAAAACTAAATCAACACAACATTTGTACTCGAGCTAAATATATCGTTTTAACACATAACTATCTAACAATTTACAAAAAAAATTAGAGTGGCAGTTATTAATGTTATAAAAATTGGAATATAATATCTTATATAGAAATATTAAATGCTTTGACGGAACAAAATATATATATTTTTATGATGGTGTCATTGACTTTACCAATTACATTTTGCCGCTAAATTACATAAAATGTAGCGCATCTTCTTACACTCAAGTCAAGATTAAAAGAAGAAAAAAAATCATAGTCTTTAATTACGCTCGACGCGAGCATTAGTATGACGCTCATGGGCCACTGTCCCGATATTTGTAGGTTCACATAATACTTGACTTTGATTTTAACATTGTCAGGGAAAGTGGCACCAGGCTCTACGACGGTTTTAAATAAGTAAAAACACTAAATCAAATCACAACTGTTCGATTGCAGAGGTACTACGTGTGTTTATCACACTTATATAGTAATATAGTAGGACAAAGGCAGAATGTACAAGAAACCCTTAGTTTAAAGAAAAACATACTATACGTCAAAATCATCTGCAAATCTAAGAATTAATTTGAACAAACCTAACAAAAAATATATTAGAAAGTGTAAATAAATTTTAATTTTGTGTCGTAAACTTTTAACAGATTACAAGTCGAACCAGATGGTATTTTTTGTAAAACTTTATCACACCGATGGTACTGAAAAAAGAAATAAATTATTAATCTTGAAAACAAAATGGCAGACGTTTTCGCTGAGTATTAGAAATCATATTGCTCAATTATGTAGGTACAAAAAATGCATTTTTACGCTTTGCGATAAAATAATAACGCATTCAGTTAAAATCACAAAACTCTAATAAAATAAAGTGTTAATCTCTTTTTATAATCATTCATATACCTAATACTTCTCATATCACATTTTGTCAGAAGCGTTTTAAAACGATAACATGATGGTGTCGTTTTTATTTTTATTTTACGAGAACGAAGGAGACGGAAATATTTTTTTTAAATTGACATTATTTTATTCGAATAATCGATTCCGGATGACTTCCTCACACACAACGATTTCTCTTCATCATAATTTTACAAACCAATATTAAATATGAAGGTAAAATAGGCAGCGAATCAAAGCTGTGAGGAGGTACATATTTTTAGTAGGTATTTATTTTTTGTGAATTCAATTCAATACAGCGCGCAATGAAAAGAGTAAAGAGTAAAAAGTTGAGTTTTCACACTAACACTGCACCGATCTTAAAAAATCATTGTCCGATGATTTTCTACTGAGCCAAAAAAGCAATTGGTTCACCCAGCTAACAGTTTATCTTCAAAATCACAAAGTCGATTGAAATGAATTCGCACAGGGTAGGTAGGTAATTTAAATCGTAAAATTAAGCACGTGGTTTATAATATTAAGTACCGGAATTACTATTAATAATATGTACTTATTACTCTTCTAAGAATAAATGCTTAAGTAGGTATTGGTTTTGACTTCGTGTCAGAAATACAATCATGGTACAAAAAGAAAAACAGTACGTTTAATTAAACACATCCCACAATATATTTGGATTGGTGAATTGTTCTTTACTGATGATTATTCATTTTTGAATAACTTAGTAGAATATATCTAAGTAGATAATATAGCGGCTGCTTCATTCACTCAAGTGCCCATGCTTATAATATTACGTTCCTTTGTATTGTGATTATACTCAGACGTTTATACCTGTTTTGCTATTCTGTATGTAACGCACCTCTTTACAAAATTAATGATTAAAACGATTATAGTTAGAGATCAAAGCGTTGTGTGTGAAGAAGTCAACAATAATTATATAAAACTGTATTGATAAAATCCAACTACGAATTTCTAAAGCATTGTACTATGTAGAAAGTGATCGAATACTTTCGATGAAGTAGAATAGTTTTCACAGACATATAAAAATGTTATTATCAAAATTTGTGAAATTTCCTCTCTCAATCACCAAAATAAATCATTTGTTTAATGTTACCATCACATTAACTTCTTTGTACATTTACAAGGTATTCGAAGTGCCTTGTATCTTACAAATATTAAGATTATAGTAATTTTAAGAGATATAAGGAGGACACACATACCTACTATAAATTGTAGGTTTGAACTGACTTAAAAATCAAAAGCCGAATAACCTAAGCAATTGAGAAAGGTTTCAACTAAACAGCATCTGGATGTAGACAAAGCCTCCTCCTTAAAAAAATTCTGGCTACGTATGCTAGGTCGAAAAACAGTCAAGCAATAAATATCGCATGAAAAAAGAAAAACGTTTTCGGTAACTAATACACCACAGATGATTTATTTATTGATTGAGAATAACAAATTAATGTTATTTACAGCGTTAACCAGTTATAAAGTTCACACTGACAATCACGGTCAGGAATTTAACGTTGACTGACCACAAATTTTTATTTGTATGACTTTTATGTGCATAATTTATTTAAAGGTTTCATGTTCAGAGCATACAAAATGGCGAAATTTTTATGACAGTATTTAAATGTCAACGCCAAACTGACATCGCGGTGAAAACTATCCATGACAATTAATTGTTTTGTTTTGTTTTATTAACTATTCTTGTTCACCGTGCGTATTAC